GTTTTGGCAACCTTGTCAAACAAAGATCAATTGACCATAAATGTGAGGGTTCATTTCTGAACTATCAATAATGTTCCATTGGCTTCTATGTCTATTCTCATGCCAGTGACACACTGTCTTGATTCCTGTAGCTTTGTAATAATTTTTGAAATTGGTAAGTGTGAGTTCTCCCACTTAGTGCCTCTTTTATAAGGTTATTTTGGTTATCTGGGGCCCTATGCAAATCCATATGCGTTTTAAGATCAGCCTTTCCATTTCTGGAGGGGAAAAAAGAGAGGTTGGAATTTTGATAGGGATCGTAATGAATATGTAGATGAATTTGGGGAATGTTTCCATCTCAACAATACTAACTCTCCCAATCAACGAATGTGAGATGTCTGTACGTCTTCTTTAATTTCTTCCAACAATGTTCTGTAGTTTTCAGTGTACGACTCTTATACTTCTTTGCTTAAATTGATTCCTAAGGTTTTTATCCTTTTTGATGCTGTTGTGAATGGAATTGTTTTCTTCATTTCACTTTCAGGTCATTTCTTGCTAGCGTATAGAAATACAACTGATTTTTGTGTATTGATCTTATATCTGCAACCTTGCTAAGCTCATTTATTAGCTCCAATATTTTTTGTACGGATTTCTTTTGACTTTGTATACAAAATCATGTCATCCGCAAACAGAGATAGTTTTACTTCTACTTTGTCAACTGGTTGCCTTTTGTTTCATTTTCTTGCCTAATTTTCCTGGCTAGAACCTCCAACACAATGTTGAATAGAAGTAACAGGAGGGGGCAACCTTGTCTTGTTCCTAATTTTAGGGGGAAAGCTTTCCTTTTTCTTTTCTTGCAATGGCTTTACCTAGTTTTGGTATCAGGGTAATACTAGCCTTGTAGAATGAGTTGGGAAGTGTTCCCTCTTCTATTTTTTCGGAAGATTTAGAGAAGGATTGGTGTTAATTCTCCTTTAAATATTTTGTGAAACTCACCGGTGAAGCCATATGGTCCTGGACTTTTCTTTATGGTAAGTTATCTTTTATAACTTACCACAATCTCTTTATTATAGATCTATTCAGATTTTCTATTTCTTCTTCCGTCAGCATTGGTAGTTTGTGACTTTCTAGGAATTTATGCATTTCATGTAGGTTATATTCACGTACTTTTGTTCATAGGATTCTCTTATAATTCTTTTTTATGTCAGTAAGGTCATTAATAATGTCTCCTATTTCACTGATGATTTTAGTAATTTGAATCTCCTCTTTTTTTTTCTTGGTCTAGCTGGTCAATTTTCTTGATCGTTTCAAAGAACCATCTTTTGTTTTCATCGATTTCTCTCAATTTTTGAAATTCTCCGTTTCATGCATTTCTGCTCTAATATTTATTACTTCCTTCTCCTTGATTCGGAATTAGTTTGCTCTCCTTTTTCTAGTTTCTTTAGGTGGATGGTTAAGTTACTGCTTTGAGACCTTATTTATTTCCTTCTAAGTACTGCTTTGCTTCATCCCATAAGTTTCCATATATTGTGTTTTCATTTTCATTTATCTCAAAAGTATTTTCTAAATTATAATGTGATTTTTTTCTTTGACCCATTGGTTACTAAGGAGTACAAGGTTTAATTTCAATGTATTTTTTAATTTCCCAAATGTCCTCCTGTTACTGATTTTTAATTTCATTCCGTTGTGGTGAGAGAACATATCTTGCCTGATTTCCATCATTTTACGTTTGCTGAGACGTCTTGTCACGTGGTCTACTCTGGAGATGCTCCGTGCGCTGAAGAGCACGGCTGCTGGGCCGAGTCTACCCTGGGTCTGCAGAGTAGCTCACGTCCTCTGTTTCCTTTTGATCTGCTGTCTTGTTGCTTTATCCGTCATTGAAAACAGGCTGTTGAAAGTTGACAGTCCCCAGTGATTATTGTTGAACTGCCCATTTCACCCTTCATTTGTCTGGTTTGCTTCACGCGCTGTGGGACTCTATTGTGAGACGCATATACTTTATAACGGTTACATCTTCCTGACGGATTCGCCTGCCATCATTATCAAATGCTCTTCTCTGTCTCTTGTAACCGTATTTGTCCTGAAGCCTCTTTTGCCTCCTATGGTAGAGTCACTCTCACTTTTGTTTACCGTTTGGTTCATCTGGTTCATCCTTTTATGGGGGGGCTCCGCACCAAGTCAAATACAGACAGCCTTGCAAGCGGGGGTCTTCCAGGAAACCACCGGACAGGTCAAATAATGACAAGTTTCTGGGGACACTCGGCTCCATTCTGATCCCTCCAGTGGCGCTGGGTTGTTGGTTTTCACCATGAATCTGGGCTGTCAATTTTCAACGCTACTACGGAGCTGGAGGGTGGGGCATGGGCCTAGGGCAAATTAAAACACCTAATAGCTTGGAGAGGATGCCGGGAACCTGGAACCCTTGTGCACTGTTAACAGGAATGTGAAATGGTGCAGCAGCTGTGGAAAACAATGTGGCTGTCCCTCAAAACATTAAAAACGGAGCTACCAACTATACTTCAACAAAAAAAAATTTAAAAAAAGAATTTCCATATGATTCAGCAATTCTACTTCTACCCAAAAGACTTGAAAGCAGGGTCCTGAAGAGATATTTGTGCCAGCTTGTTCGGCAGCTAAGATGTGGAGGTGCCCATCGTCAGATGAATGAATAAGCAAAGTGTGGTACATACGTACAGTGGACTATTATTCAGCCTTGAAAAGGAAGGGAATCCTATGAAGGAAGTCAAACACCAACCGGCCACTATGTGACTATTTGCATCAAGCATAACAAGAGGCAAAAATAACTGATAAAGTTGGAAATTAGGACAGTGCTCACTTTGGGGGTGGTAGTGACTGGAAGGTAACAGAAGAGGGGGCTTCACGTGTTCTTAAATTTCTACTCCTTGATCCAACTACTGATTACATGAATGCCTTCCATTTCTGAGAATCCACTGGGCTACAGTCAAGGAAAAATATAATTTTCTTTATGTCCGTTACACTTTGTAAACATTGACTTACAAGAAAAAAAAATTACGGGGACATCAAAAGACACCTGCTACAACATGGACGAACCCAAGAACATTATGCTGAGTAAATAAGCCAGATAGAAAAGGACACACACTGTATGACTGCACTCAGATCATGTCCCTAGAGTCGTCAAAACGACAGAGACGAAAAGTAGCGTGAGGGTTTCCGGGGCTGAGAGGAGGGGCCGGGGAGCCATTGCTGGAAAGGGACAGAGTTTCAGATTCAGAAGATGCCAAGTTCTGTGGACGGAGGGTGGTGACGGCGGCACAACAATGCGAACGTGCTTAATGCCCCTGAGCCGCCACTGAAAAACGGTTGGGATGGGAAAAAGCAAAAGCCTCACAGCTGCTCTTACCAAGAGTCAGCTAGTTTTCTCGACTGAAAAACAGAAAACAAAAAACTGCTCTCCAAGGACTGCTGCAAGCTGCTGGTTAATTTCCGGAGTACAGAAAAAGTCGGTTCTGACCGCTTTTGCCTATTTTCTCCTTGCTATTACAACGGACAGTGTTTCCAGAGGTCCTCACTCTGCCATTTTTGCTGAGGTCCTGGCATCTTAACTGGGATGGAGACACAGCAAATTCTGCTGCACAGACAGTCCTGTGTTTCTGGAAGCCGGCTGCTGAGCAGAGGAGGGAACGCTCATGTTTACAGCCAGACGGAAGCATATCTCCTCCCAGGCCTGCGGTCAGCGGCCACGGGGGCCTCCTCCGTGCAGGTGAGGCTTGGCGAGAGCCCCGGCTCCCCTGGCCCTTCTGCAAGCCAGGCTTGCTCGCAGGGGTGACACCCACAGAGGCCAAGCCAGCGGCGAGGCCCCCACTGGGCCTCCCTGCACGAGCACGGGGACCCGGGTGCTGTGGGGGGGCTCAGCTCGCCCAGCACCCATCCTGGTGCCTCCCGGACCCAGGGTTCCCTGACCTGACTCAGGCCTCACCAATCGGAAGTGCTAAGAGACCTGAACCCAGGATGGAGTGAGGTGAGAAGGAGGGAGGGAGCGAGGTCTCCGGGCAGGTGGGCAGCTGCTCACAGCTGCCTTCCTCAGACTCTGGGCTGCAGGACTCCCAGGGCAAATCCCTGTCTGCTCGGGCAGACTTACTTCTCTGGAGGAGCCAAGACTGCAAACAAGGCAGGGCCGACCAGGCCTTCCGGGGCCCTGTCAGGAGGGGCTCTCCCTGGGACCTGAGACGGGAAGAGGCCAGCCGGGAAAGAGCTGTCCAGATAGAGGGAGCCGCAGTGCAAAGGCCCTGGGGCACACGGGGAGGAGGTGCTGGGACAGGAGGGTGGGCGGGCAAGGGGCCAGCAGGGTGCTGGGAGGGCTCAGCCTCGGGGATGGGAAGCCCGTGTGCGGGCTGTGGCGTCTGGCAGGAACTTGGCCCTCGGTCAACGTCTGGTGAGGGGACAGACCAGCAACAAGCGCGTGCCTGTCAGCCGGCCCCTGAGGAGCCAGATTGCACGCCAGGTCTGGGTGCTCCCAAGGAGATGGGCGTCCCCACACCCAGGGCCCCACCTGAAAGAGCCCTTGTTACCCCGGCCTCAAGAGCCCCTTGGCCAGGATACAAATGGAAGGTCCCGCCGGAGCCCAATGCCCTTCAGGCCCCTTGGGTCCTGGGCCGTGGCAGGGCCCCAGCCCGGGGCACGGACATGACCACTGCGTCCCCAGCATCCCGTGTGCCTGGCCCAGCCTCAGCGGCTCACACAGGGACTCCTGCTAACTCCACGCCCCACCGGGGCCAGTTGGGGCGGCCCAGACCCCGCCCCAAGTCCACCACAGGCAACAATCAGCTAGACGACACCTTTGAGAACCGCCAGCCCCTGGGAGGACAGTGTCAGCGGCTCGCCCTGCGCTGTGCACTCATTTGAGCTACAGTGGCCCTGGGGGGGGTGGTCTGGGGTCAGGGTGCCCGGTGCAGCCATCGGAGTCGTGGGTGGGCGGGGGATGTAGGCAGGCCTGGGAAGCGGGGCTTGGACAGGGCTCTGCCACTGGGGCAAGTGGGGAGGGGCAGCAGTCAGCGAGTGTGGAGTCTGCAGAGGCCTGGCCACAGCACAGCCCTGAGCCTCGGTCCCCCGAAGCCACCTCGGGGTGACTGACCATAGACTGACTTACGGGAGGGGACCCTGGCCTCAGTGTCGGCCAAAGAACCATGCAGTCACCGAAGAACAGAATTCCACCCACAGATGCACCCAGGTCCCCAGCCCCACAGCCTTGGGGAGCAGGGCTTCTGTCCGTTGGGGTCACTCCCGTGTGCCCGGCGCTGAGACCCGGGAGGTGCCGGACATGCGTTTGCAAAGGGATGACTTTACCCGGCGGGGGGCACCTGTGTGCAGAGGAGCCTGCCGTCAAGTGCTGCTCAGATGCCGCCTCACCTGGTGCCTGTGACGGACGGGGCACCGCATCCTGGCTGGTGGAGGAGCCCGGGGCTCAGAGTGTAAGCTGACCCCGACTGGCCAGGCTGCCCCGCCGGAGACCCAGCCCAGGCCAAGGGGCCACAGGCTGCCGGTTCCCAAGGCTCCGTCTGCATCCCTCTCTGAGCAGGGCACCCCGTGCCCCGCTGCGTCCCAAGGACTCCTCAGGCATGCTCTCAGGGTCACTCCAACACCAAAGCAAGTACCTCCCTGTTCACCCTCCCCCGGGCCCCTCCCAGGGGAGCCCTGAGCAAACAGAAGGGCCAGCCTTCAGTCCGCACTGGCCGCACGTCGAGGTGGGGCCCCGGGAGGGCAGAGCTGTGGGTGTGAGGCGTAGGAGGGGAGCCTCCTGTAAAATGGGGCGAGCCCTGAGGCCCCCGCAGCCACTGGACGGCGGGCCAGGGCTGCGCAAGCACGTCCTCGCTTCCTGGCACGAAACGGCCCAGGCCCACCTCCCACTTTCTCTCCCCAAACCCGGATCAGCCACTTCTCCAAGGACACGGTGTGAGCAAAGACACCCCTGCCTGTTCTGCTGGCGCTCGCGAGGGTGTGGGGACGTCCCCAGAGGCCACGTGGCACATCCACGTGTGACGAGCCTTCCGAGCTCCAGCTGCGTCCCTGCACGGCTGGCCTTTCTGCGCGGATGCCAACTAGCATGACACGCACCTCGGAGCGACTGCGGGGTGGCGGTGACCGTCCCACGTCTCCCAGGAAGCCAGACAGAAAAAGATCTGCACTCCCCGCTCTTTTCACAAAGGTTTTCTTTTTGAAAAAGAGTTGTTTTTCATAAAGCATTGCTATTTATGTTCATGTGCAGTAGGTTTAGTTTTGTTATTTCTAAGTGAATTGATAAGTATTCCAAGCATTTCCATTAGGATCTCAAACACGGTGAGATCGATGGATGTCACCCACACAAACAGAAGCTCCTTGTGGGTCTCAGTGACTGTTCAGAGTGTAAGCGGTCCCGAGATCACAGTGTGTGAGAACCGCTGCGTTGGGCTCTGCCGGGAGCCTGAGGACCCGCAGTCTGGACGCGGTGCTCACGGCCGCTTCCCGGCCGTCGTGTTGTTTACTTGGAATGCGGTTCGCTCACTTGCTTTGTCTGCGTTCTATTCTTGTGGGTTCTGTTTATTTTTCTCTCTTTTTTGGAATGTGTAAAACATTAACGCGGTTTCAAAACTCCGAATGCTTCCTTTTAAGCTTTAAAGCTCCCTGGGCGGTTCTTACAAGCCAGACCACCCCACTGTCCTTGTCCTTCCCGGCTCCCAGGCCCCGTGATGAGGGTTCTGGAAATGTTCTCCTGACAGGGAGCAGAGATAAGAATCCGCTGGCATCTTCTTCCGTATGCCAGGCATCCTTGGAGCTCTTCCCCATGCAGGGAAGTTGGGGGGCCCGGGGTCACCTCCTGGCCCTTGGGGAAGGCGGCCTCATGGCTTGGACTCCCCTCGGGGGGACGGTCCAGATGCCCTGGCCACGGCGTGGACAGCGTGGCTCCCCCATGCAGCTCTGCACGCGGGAAGAAGGCAGCTGTGTCCGCTGAACCCAGGACCCCTGCTTCCCCGCCCGCCCCCAGCACTCGGACAGACGGACAGATGTCAGGCCTGACTGTGGCCCCCACGTCCCAACCTGCCCTGCAGGCAGTGCACGCTGGCGGCCCTGGCCCAGCTCTCTTCCCAGCTGCTGGCTTTGGCACCCCCTCCGGGGAGACACCAGGGAGGGCCTGATGGGAAAGGAGAGAACTGGGGGGAGAGGGGGGGCGGGAGGAAAAGACAAAGGAAGGGGTGCGGCGAGTGGCCGGCGCCCGAGGGAGGAGTGACCTCAGCGCTGAAGCAGCATCTGCTCGCGTCAGAGCAGGCGGGCGGCCAGGCCAGCTCCAGCACTGAGGTCCCTTTCTCTCCCTCTCCCCGCGTCCTATCTGCCGCTCCTCTCCGGCGGCCACGGTGGCGGACCTGGGGCCTCATTGGCCGGCCGGGTGCCGCGTCTGCAGCATAAATTGGAGCTCTGGGCTCTTGCTGGGACTCTTGCTCGGCTGCCCACAGCCTCCAGTCGCTCTTGCTGGGTGAGTACTGCGTGCGCTGGCCTCGGCCCCGCAGCCGCACTGGCCTCCTGGCGCTGCCCCCGCCCAGAAACCCGCAGCACCCCAAGAGGGGCAGCACCCCAAGAGGGAGGCCCATCTAGTCCGGGGCACGGCGACCCTCCTGGTTCCCGGGGTTCCCTCAGACGGCAGCGCCAGAGGTGTTTCCCCCAGGAAAGCCGCAGGGCGCTGAGCTGGCTGTGAGCTCCGTGCCAGGTGTAACCGGCCAGGCACCTTGGGTTCCTGTAACCCAACACGGCTTGGCTTTCCAGCCACGGGGTGAGGCCCAGCTGGAGCCTGGAGAGGGAACGTGGAGGGAGGTGCCCGGCGTCCTCGGGGACCTGTAACCAGGGGCCGTGCGCAGGGCATCGGGGACCAGCGGTGCAGCATGTGGCCCCCCTTCTCGTAGGTGATGGGAACCCCGAGTCCGGCTGCCCCCTGGGGCGGAGCCCTCTGGGCCCTCCTCCTGGCCACACTTGGCTGCTCGGCCGGCCAGCCGCTGGGGGGAGAGTCCATGTGCACGGCCCAGCCCCTGGCCAAGTACAGCATCACCTTCACGGGCAAGTGGAGCCAGGCATCCTTCCCCAAGCAGTACCCGCTGTTCCGCCCACCCGCGCAGTGGTCATCCCTGCTGGGTGAGTGCAGTCCCTGCCGTCCCGTGCCCGGCGGGCCTGGCGGTGACCCCCACTGCTCGGGAGGGTACGGTCATCTGACCGTGGCCCCGCACTTCACAGCGTGGAGGGGACCTCACCCAATTCGCTTCAGTGCAGGAGGTCCTGGCTGAGTGCCTACTGTGTGCCAGCAGCAGTGTCCTGGGCTTCGGGGACGTGGCGGGGCAGGGTGGCCTGGGTCACGGGAAGGGCCGGCCGGCTGCCCGTCCTACCCGCGAGGCGCCGGGCAGTGTGAGGCCACCTGCGGGACATCCCGCCCGGCCCCACGAGGGGCGGGACGGTGCCCAGGGGTGATGCTTACACGGGTGGGTGGTGGTGGTGCGCAGGGGCAGCGCACAGCCCCGACTACAGCCTGTGGAGGAAGGGCCAGTATGTGAGCAATGGGCTGAGGGACTTCGCGGAGCGCAGCGAGGCCTGGGCACTGATGCGGGAGATGGAAGCTGCCGGGGAGAAGCTGCAGAGCGTGCATGGCGTGTTCTCGGCCCCAGCCGTGCCCAGCGGCACCGGGCAGACGTCCGCGGAGTTTGAGGCCCACTCCAGGCACTCGCTCGTGAGTGGGGCGGCGTGGACGGTGGGCGGGCGGGCAGGAGGGGGGCGCGGGGGCTGCCGCTGAGCCCTCGGCCCCCAGGTGTCCTTCGTGGTCCGCATCGTCCCCAGCCCCGACTGGTTCGTGGGCATCGACAGCCTGGACCTGTGTGACGGGGGCCGCTGGAGGGAGCAGGTGGTGGTGGACCTCCACCCTTACGATGCCGGGACCGACAGCGGCTTCACCTTCTCATCCCCCAAGTTCGCGACCGTCCCGCAGGACACGGTGACCGAGGTGAGGGGATGGCAGCTCTCTGGGCGGCGCTCCCCGGGAGGACAGTGAGGGGGCGGGGCTGGCCCTTCCTGACCCATCTCCGGGCCGGGCCCCTCCTGCAGATCACGGCCTCCTCTCCCAGCCACCCCGCGAACTCCTTCTACTACCCGCGGCTTAAGTCTTTGCCTCCCATCGCTACGGTGACCCTGGCGCGGCTCCCGCACAGCCCCAGGGCCTTCCCGCCCGCCCCGGGCTTCGGGGGCGGGGGCAACGAGGTCGCCGACAGCCTGCCAGGTGAGCCCAGCTCCCACCCCTCCGTAGCGCCCACGGCCACCCCCCAGCCCCGCTTCACATGCGTGCTCCTGGGTTGCAGGCGCTCGGGCTGGCGGGCAGCCGCGACATTCACCACTGGCTGCGCCGGAGCAGGAGCAGCACTTGGGTTTGGGGGTCAGTCGGGACTTGCTCGGACATCACCTGGCCCTGAGCTCCCGCTCCAGCTCTTACCTCTCACCCTAAATAACCCTCGAAGGCCAGTGCCCGCCCCAGGGGGAACGCCTGTGAAGTGACACCCGCTGCTTTCACAGGGGCAGCCCCGCCCCCGCGTGCGCCCCGCCCCCAGGGCCCTTGGTCCAGGGCTCAGCCCTGCGCCGCCGGCCCGCCCCACGCAGAGCACCCGTCGCCAGGCCACAGAGCTGGGTTGCGTGGCCGCGTGGAGTGTGAGGACGGGTCAAACCGGGAGAGGCTGCCGGTGCTCAGAGGGCGGGGCAGCGCCGCCGGGGCTGCGTGAACCCGCGTCTCCGAGCGCCTTCAAAAGCAGGATGGGAGCATTTGGTTGGGGACGCTGGTTCTGAGAGATTTGGGATTTGGTTCATTCGACTCCAAACTGCAGAGTTAACTCGTGCCCAGCACTTTCAACTGAAAGCCTTTCACACTTCCACAGCCCAGAGTGAGTCGGAGAGGCCCCAGGCCCCGCCCGGTGTCCCCGCTGACCCCTGTGTGCCCTCCTGGCAGCGGGTCGGTGGGGCCGGTGCCGCCCGCGGGGGAGGGGCGAGCGGTGCGCAGGTGCCGGGCGAGCGAGGGGGGCCGCGGCCCCAGTGTGGCCAGCCTCCCGAAGGGTCCGCACCTGGAACAGCAGCGCAGCGGTGGAGACCCTGCCGGTCTGTGCCCACGTCAGAGAACGTTTCACGACAGGATCTCCGCTCTCCCCCAGCCCCACGCCCCGCACCCCGGAGAGCGGGGATCCAGCCGGCATCGGGCTCTCAGGGCGGAAACCTTCACCCAGTCGCTCGGGGGTGGCTTTTCGGGGGTGTGCTTGGTGGCGTGGCCCTGGAGGTGGCTGGAAAGCGCAATGATAAAATCAGGAGTTTCCTGGCCAAGTTCGGAGGCGGTGTCGGGCGAGGACCCCCTTCCTCTCCCGCAGCCCCGCCTCGCTCACCGTCCTCCTTGCGCCCCCAGCTCCGGAGACGCCGCTGGACTGCGAGGTGTCGCTGTGGTCGTCCTGGGGGCTGTGCGCAGGCCCGTGCGGGCGGCCCGGGGCCAAGAGCAGGACGCGCTACGTCCGTGCGCGGCCCGCCAACCACGGGGCGCCCTGCCCGGGGCTGGAGGAGGAGGCCCCGTGCGTCCCCGACAACTGCGTCTGACGCCGGGGCCTCCGAGCCCCCTGAGCCCCGCCGCCGGCGACCTCCGCGCAGAGACTGGCACCTGGCCCGGCGGCCGCGCTGCACGAGAGGCACACCCCGGCCGTGAAATACCTCAGACCTGGTCGCCAGGCAGCCGCCCGGGGCCGCCGGCTCGCCGGCGCGAGACCAACACCTGCCTCCTCGCGTTCCCATCCCAGCTCTTGAATAAAGACCAGCAGGAGACCTGACACCCGGTGCTGTGGTCTGTGTGTCCTGGGCAGGCGCCGGGTGAAGGCGGGGCCGGCAGATGGGCCACCAGACTTCCCTGATGAGCAGGTGTCACCCTGCGGGGAGGAGCCAGTGGACCACCAGGCGCGCACACACACGCGGCGCGCACACACACGGCACATGGGGAACTCAGAGGACCAGCATTACCGCCCCCCCCGGGCCTCTGACCATCGAGGCCCCTGGCCTCGCAGGGGGGGCCCTGAGGCCTCACTCCCGACCTGCCCTAGCCCTTGTCTGAGGTCGGGGTTCACGACCTCGTCCTGCTGGTGTGGATCCCGGCTGGTCCCTCAGGGGACTGCCTGCTCCCTTGACGCCCCCAGACCACTCTTTCTCCTGCTTGGCCTCCTTAGACGCAGAGCCCTCGGCCGCCCACCGCCCAGCGCCACGCCCTCTGCCCTCCTCAGCCTGCTCCGGCCGGTTCTCGGCTCTCGGGCCCTTTCTCTCCCTCGTGGAGATCCGATCGCCCACCCTCTCCATTCCCTTAGGGTCACCTGTCCACCTGAAGGTTGCTCTGGGCGGCCCCCCGGGCTCCCCACGGCCTCGGTCCTCACTCGAGTCAGCATAGCTGACCCTCCGTGTCCCGTCCAAGCGGCTTCCTCAGGCCCTCCCCCGAGCTCCGCGCACCTGCCGCGGGGTCTCCGTCACCGGTCTCCCCTCTGTGCCCCTTGTCCCTCTGCCCCAGCAGACGTGCTCCCCCTTCCACCCAAGGACACGGTTCTCTTGGGCCCGCCCCCGCCGGCTTGCAGACACGCCTGGAAAGGGCTCTCGAGTTTCCCACCAGCGCCTACCCGTCCTCGCAGCCGCCCCCCTCTCCCTGCCGTCCAGGGCCCTGTCTGCCCATCCCTGCACCTGGGGGCCCGTGACTTTGCTCCTGTTCCTTGCCCCGCATGTGCCCTTGACCCCCAGGCTCCCGCCCCAACCCCCCACTGGCCTGTCTCCTCTGATGGCGCCCCTCTCCTCCCTGACACCCCTCCCCACGAGCTCGACCTCGGACCCCCCCAACTCATCCTCTCCACAACAGATTTCTATCCCCCACGGTCATCTTGACCCTTGACCTCAGGGAGGAAGGAGTGGAAGCAGTCGCTCCCAGTCAGGGGTTGGAAGCCCAGCGGAGCCCTGCTCGACAGACGGCACGGGTGCTAGGAGGGAGCTCGTGTGCCCGAGGTTCCCAGCAGACGCGCTCCATGCACTTACGGGCACAGTGCTCCCCAGAGGGGGTGCCAGCCCGCACCCCACCAGGCGCCGCACCCGCATCCCGCATCCCTGGCTCCCTGCACGTCACTGGAGCGCCACCCTGTCCAGATCCCTGGGAGTCCAGGGGCACAGACGTTCCTGCCCCGCAGGCACCCAGCAAGCGGCCCTGGGGTGCAGGGCAGGGGCAGCGGGACTTCAAGTGATTGAGAAGCCTGATTTGCTTCATGTATTTGGCAGGAGCCCTGACACTGAGTACCAGACAGAGGAGCTGGCTGGTTTGGCAGAGGGCGGCCACTGGTGAGCAGTGGCGCAGCAGCCAGACTCCACCCTGAACAGCCCCTCTGACCTCTGAACCCTCTGCCTGGTGTCTGACACGCTCGCAGCGGCAGCCCCAGCATGGGAGCAGCGCACAGCCGGCCCTGCGAGAGCACAGCCTCCGGCACGGGGCTCTGCACAGAGAACACGATTCCCGAACGCACCCCGACGCTCGCCGGGCTTGCGGTCTGAGACCACAGCAAAGGTCTGAAAACCCCAACTAACATCCCGAGGCACTGAGGAGAAATAAGCATAGGCGCCCCCTGCAGACCGCACTGCGGACTCGGACTCAGAATCCACACCTTGACGCGCGCTCAACTCAAACCCCCCGAACACGGGAAAGCGGCGCCCCTCACCTGCAGGAGACACCAAGCTCCAAAATCAGACCACAAAGCCATTGACCTCGGGATGATCCCGTGTGAGACGCAGCCATTGACCTCGGGATGATCCCGTGTGAGACGCGGCCATTGACCTCGGGATGATCCCGTGTGAGACGCGGTGAAGCGGGCTGACTGTGTCATCCACACCTGGGCTCAAAACTCAAGGGTACCACTGAACCGAGCATGTAACACAATTACAGATTGAACCCTGAGTCAATGGGCTAAACGCTCTGGTCAAATGAGAGACTGTAGGCTGGACTCACAAAGCACGCGCCATTTACAGGACAGGGGCCACCCTGTGAGAACACTGAAAGGCCGGGGAAAGATAGTGGGGGGCACCCCCGGGACACCCATGTCCACCCCCTCCTTCTGGAGCGCAGGCTTGGGTGGGGCCAGAACATCTCCTGGCCGCGTGGGAGCGCGAGTCGACGTGGAGGCGCCTGTGCAGAAGGCCGGCACCCGGAGGACAGCACCCTGGACAGGGCCCAGGGCTGAGAGCGGGTCGGAAACAAGTTTGCCGTGTTCCGGAACGAGACTTGAAGGAAGCACGTGCTGAAAGGAAACTGTAAAGGAATCCTGCACTAGGTGACGCTCAGGCTCTGACGAAGAGGGGCTGGGGCGCTGCTGCCACTGGCGCTGGTGATGTGGGTGTGGGGCTGGCGCTGCTGGTGCCGGTGCTGGTGGTGATGTGGGTGTGGGGCTGGCGGTGCCACTGGTGCTGGTGATGGTGTTGGTACTGGTGGTGGTGGCGGAGGTGATGTTGATGGTGGTAGTGGTGGTGGTGATGCAGGTGGCGATGCTGTTGGTACAAGACGCTCTTTCAGGAGGGTGGTTGGGGACGCCCTCCTGACAGGCCCCTCCAAGCAGAGCTCTGAAGGAGGGAGGGAAAGCCTTGCAGAGATATGGCAATGAGTGTCCGGGCAGAGGAACAGCGAGAGGCAGAGGACACAGCCAGGGGGCCTGTGTGGCCAGCACAGAGGGCAGGGGTAGCCCGGCAGGAGGCCGGGGCAGACAGGCTGTGAGCTTCTGCTCCTGAAGAGGTGAAGAGTGGATGGGGCGTCACAGGAAGGCTTTGAGTAGAGAAATCACTCATCAGTGCGCGTTCTAAATGGCTGTCTGGTCATTTTGAGAGCAGAGTGTAGGGGGGCAAAGGCAGAAAAAGAGAGAGTTAGGGGCCACTGCACTAACCCAGAGAAGAGGGAGGTTTGGGCCACAAGGATATGGTGGAAGGGGTTGGAAGTTAATGAATTCCAGGCTTACTTTGATGTAAAGGCAGGAACGGTACTCACAGACTGGAGGCTAACGGTACGTCCCCCAGCTGGCTGCGTCGGCCCAGCCCACCTCAGAGCACTAAGTTCAGCAGGGTCCTGGCTTGAATGGGTCGGCCCGGGTAGGGGGGACCAGCGCGGACAGGCTCCCTCCTGAGGGAGTGCACCACATGTCAAATAGATGAGGGACACCGGGCCAAGCAAAGTGATCCCAGCATCTATGCTGATGCCTGAAGGCCCCGCACATGGGCTAGAAAGGCGTCTGCTGGGATTTCAGGGGGCTGCTGGCTGGGCCAGACAGCCAGCAGCCCTCTGTGTGGGTGGCCGGACACAGAGCCAGCCCATTGCAAAGGAGGCAGAAGTGGTGAGAATGTCCACTGCTGGAGAAGGAAGGGGAGATCATGAAAGCAAGCAGGTCACGGGGATGGGGTGAGCAGTGGGTGGCACTGGGGGGACGGAGGCAGAGGGTAGGACATTGAGGAGTGACAAGAGGGGGCTTCCTGGCAGAGATGGTGGGCTGCAAACCCTATTCCCACCCAAACCCCACTGTTTAGATGGCATAACCCAGATGCCTGCCTGGGGTGCTAGGTCTGCTCGTACACCCTGAGGAGGCTTCTTCCACCACCACTGCACGACTAGACCCCACACTCTGGATGGAAACGCCACTTGAGACGCTGCCCTTTTCCTAAGAGATAGGGGAGAACTGTCACCTCCTCGTCCACTTCTACAAATAAGCAAACAAAAAACTGAACGGGGCCTGGAGCAAAGAGGAGCCGGGGTTAAGCCACATAAGTAAGCGCGTGAGCTGCGGGGTGAGGGCTGAGCTGGGGCTGAGCTTAGGTCAGCGGCAGGACGGGGAAGACGACCAGTCTTCTGCACCAAGTTCAGCCCTCAAGGTCAGCAGCAGCCCCTTGCGTAAGGGAAGAGCAGAAAGTAATCTCTCTGTAGAAAGCTTTCCCAGCTCCCACCCATCAAAACCAAGCAGTGAGTGCCACACAGAAATCACCAATTAAACAAGTCACTAAAATTGAAGGTCAGCAGAAAAAGCCCCAAGATCACAGGTAATGAAATTGTCAGAAATAAAATATAGAACAATGGCAACAAAAAATGACCAATAACACGGGATAATTAGAAACAAACAGATAAATCTGGAAAGGAAAAACTGTGCAGAATGACAAGTCCTCAGTCAGTTGAAGAGCTGAGCTAGGCGTAGCTGGAGAAAGAATTAGTGAACTGGAAGATATATGACCCAGAATGCAGCACACAGAGACAAAGAGATGGAAATATTCAAAAAGATATGGGATATAAAGTTATAAAATGTTTTAAGTTAAACACTCTGAAGGATATAATAGGGATAATGGAGAAGAGATAATATTTAAAGAAAAAACAGTACAAAAGTTACAGAACTGGCTAAAATAAAAAACACCTTTTAGACCACATGCTTTCGTATTTAAGAACCAGTGTTATTCTGTCCAACGGACACGGGAACCAAGAGACAGGGAAGATGGCAGAGTAGGAGGCACCTGTGAGGTGAGACTCCGTCTCCCACCTGGACAGCAACTGCAGGGGAAGAACCCTCTGATGTAACCGTCTGGGAACTCTGGAGTCTGCTGATGGCTTCCAGGGGAAGCCTTGGATGGTAAACCGCAGTTCATTTTGGTCAGTTTCAGCTCTTGGTACCACAGAAGCTACCCACCCCACCTCCCCCAGACAGGAGGCCCGAGGCCAGGAGGCCACGCACCTGTTTCTGGAGCAGCCTGCCCACAGCCTGCAGGAACTGGTGGGGCAAAAAAGACCCTGT